TCCTGGACCCATCAGTATAAACTTGCCACTTAACATTGCAGTCCTGACTATAGTCACCATCAAAATTTATCTTGTAGATGGTTTCTTCTCCTGAGTGAGAATTTGTCGTGTAGCCAGAGTAATAGCCATCCAACATGTAAGTTTTTATGCTGTTTATCAAATCCTCACAGTTTGGAGGGATATGCCCTTACAGCATAGCTCTCTGATGCCATCTGCAGAGATGTTGTGGAAATCCATATTGATGAGATTCCACTGCTAACAGGCATTCTTAATTTTTAGGTGGATTGGGATCAAGTTGAAAATTACTATCAGAGCGTCTGTAGGGGCCGTGCAGTAGGCACTACGGATTCTGATGGCCGCCCCTCTTTGGACTGAGAGCAGCTTCCTTCTGTTGTGGACTTTGCACTGCTACCCCATATTGGAACTTCATAGAGAATAGCAGGCTCAATGGTCCCCTTATAAATTAGCCTGTGGTTATTAGTTCCTATTTCCCATGTATTTCTGGCAATATGCTGAAGGAAGTTAGTCCTTTGCTTCATTCTCTTACACAACTTAGCAATGTGGTGCTTCCAGCTGAGAGTAGGGTCAATATATACCCCCATATATTTTAAATGCAGAACTATTTTGATCTTTTTCTGATCCAGGTAAAGGCAGAGTGGTCTTTGAAGCTGCTTTTTCCTACTTTGCTTGGTGAAACCAAAGCCTCACACTTTTTATAATTTATCGGCAGTTTGTTTCGGTGACTCCAATCCCCCAACTTCTTCAACATATCATTTGCTTTGCTCTGAAGGATACCACTGTTCTGATGGGCTATCATAACCAGGTTGTCATCTGCAAAACCCTGCACTTTGATGCCCTGGTCTGCTGGGAAACTTTCCAGGAGGTTATCATATACCAAATTCCAGATGCCTGGTCTGCTGTGCGAACTTTGAGGGCAAAAAACCATTTATTGAAAAAGAGATGTCCTTACAATACTTATTGCATTTAACAGTTATTTACAATAAGTCTACAAGCAACTTGATTAGAAAGTTGATATGCAGTGAGCCAACATGAAGAAAATTTGGAAATTTGCTCAAGGAGAAGAGATGTTGTATCTAAGATTTGTGATGAACTTCAAGTAGAGAGAGCTGTCAGATCTGCTTGTAAATGTAAGGTTGCCAACAGAGTGCAAAAATGTCAAGAGGATTGAGCGGTCGCGAAGGGTCGTATGTGGGCAATTGGCACTGAGACAGACTCTACAGTTACAAGTAACCATTTATTTGACACAAAAGAAGCTTATAAGATTTCCACGATCTTGGAAGTTCTACGTTGGCAGCGGCTCTGGGTCTTCCTCTCCTTTCCAAGATAGTCCCATTTCGAAGGAGTGTCCCTGGTTTGCGAATGACCAATTCCATTGACATCTCGATGACTCTGAAATGATGGGTCGACTTCCGTTGATGGAAAGATGTCAATTTGAGGTTGGTAGATGGAGACAAAGATGGGCATGAGACACACACACACAACAATAGATCTGCCACTTGAAACTTTTAGGAGAAGAAGCCATCGTGTCTTTGGATTCTCAGGTTTTATCAATTTTCCTCCAATTCCACATTTCTATTGGTCTCTCCTTGTCACCTGGTGACAATTCAAAACCTTTTGGGGGCGTGGGAGAGGTCAAAATTGAAGTTTAATTCAATTCCCATCCAGAGATAGTTGATCTTCATTTTTCCATTATTCTATTGTTTAAAAGTTCTTAAAAGTTTGTGTCGTTTTCATTAAGAAAAACTATTTCTAACTTCTAAAATAAATAAATATTATAAAGTCTCTGTAAATCCGCACGAAAAATATATAAATTTTAGGTTTAGCGGTAGACCAACACACAGCAGATGGCTAATTACTTCTCTTTATTTAATCACTGTATATGCATTTCGGGTCCTATTAAAGAACCCTCTTCAGTACTACAAAATATAAATATTATAATAAACCTTATGCGAGTAAAACTACCAATGTAACAATTAATATTTTAGTTTTTCATTACCATTTAGGTACACAGCTTGGATTCACATTTCATTAGCACTTTCATATCAAGTGTATTTAGTAACGTTTTCTGATTGTCTATGGTCGTATTTCTAAACTACTATAATAAATATTATTCTAGATTAAAACATTATCTATAATTATACACAACAATTCCAAATTTTAAAAAATCATTCCAAAAAATTTTAAAAAATAAATTTTAAAAACATTTTACATAA